AAAAAAAAAAAAAAAAAAAAGAAATCTTTGCTCAATGATTAGATCCTTGGTACACTCATTTTCCATGCAAGACGTCAGCTCCAGCAGCTCACGCTTGGCCTGCCGCATGCCCTGTGGATCTCCCCTGATGCGAATCAGGTTGCTCTTCTCACAATCAGGAGGGATGCACACAGACACCTTGTACTGGACTTTGATTCTGTTTATGTTGGCGCCATTCTTCCCACTGAGGTGTCTGTGGAACTTGTGATCGATGTTAATCTCTACATGGTCCTTCCAGTTCATCAAATCTTTGTCCATGCCTTTGATCTGTTTGTGGGCCACATTTACATCCCCCATAGGGCCTTCCAGGGTGATCTTGTCCTCACCCTCTTGAACTCTATGTGAACCTTTGGCGTCTGTTGAGTGATCTTGGCCAGGTTCTGCCCTTTCTTGCCAATGATGAAACAGTGAAGCCAGGAAGGGGCAGCAGCAGAGGAGATAGTGAAACTATTGGCCTTGGCATAGACTTTAGTCAATAACTGCGCTAACTTTTCAGACTCTCCTCGAAGTATCACAGTCTCAGAGATACTGTCTGAAGGTGGGATCTCAACAGAAACTCCAGTTCTCTCCAGGATTTCCTGCATTGAATTGCCCTTGTGCTGAGTTTTCTTCACCTCCACAGCAATGGTGGTCTTCTTTTTATTTTCCTCATAAATCTTCTTGATTCGAACCGTAGCCTGAGCCAACTGTTCCTTCTCTCCGGTAAAGACAATTTCTGTCCGATTCACGGTGGGGGGATGTTGATGTGTGTTCCTATCTCTTGCATGATTTCGCTAACAAGTCAATTGTAGGCCCAGCAGTGATGGGGTGGAATGCTTTCTCCACTTGTAGCCTCTCCACACCACGCTTGTCCTGCTTGGCAGAGATGAGTAAGACTTCAGAGTGAGCTTTTTCAGTGCCCTCTTGGGTGCCAGTGATCTTGATCTGATTGCTGGGGTCATCTGGGCATGCGATCTGGATTTTGGTTGCAGTTTTTAGCTCCAAGTCTTGCAGTTTCTCTCCATTTTTGCCAATAACAAAGTGATGGTGTTCTTTGGGAATGGCAGCAGTTGCTGAGGCCTGAGTCTGCAGTCTAGCAACAATGTCCTTCTGTGCTTTCATGACAGTGCCCAGCTTCCCCGAGACCATGATGGAGAGGCCTTGGTCTTTGGCCAGTGATGACTTCAGGTGAGCACTGGTCCTCTGTGTGATCTCAAGGCAGATTTTTGCTTGTTCACCTTCTCCAAATTGGTTCATGTCCTTAAATTTTCTCTCTTCCAGGAGTACATGGAACACCTGAGTGATGACAGAAGCCTCAATGGGCCGGATCTTGTTACCCCAGGCTCCAGCAGGCTCCAGGGCACTTTGCAACCAGACTGCTTTCTTGGGAAGTGGAGGGAAGGCATCCTTGTAGGTTGGAGAGTCACTCTCCTCTTCTAAATTTAGAGTGACAACTTTGATCTATTGAGGAACCAGCCCACTTCAGTGTTCAGCAAGCTTTCGGGTCAAAACTGTAGTGGAGCTCATGGTTGATCTCACACCTATGCACAATAGCAAAATGGTCAGGAGCCAGGAAGTCCATCCTGAGGCTGCTTCTGTCAGCCTGCCAGCTTTTGCTGTTCCACTCTTAATTAGCGTAAGAAAACCAAGCTCATAAGGTAGGAACCTTGGCAAAGCGGGGACAAGCCGCCATTTTGGTAAAGGTGAGAAGGCTATGCTTGACCTTCCCCCAACCCCCAGACTCTTTGTGGCCAACCGCTGTGGGAGGAGCACCCCAAGCGAGATTTTTAATGTTAAATCAGCACCTATATTTTGTCCTTTTAGGAAAAAGTAAAGAGTTAATGACTCTAGCTCAGAAGATATATGTGAAAATTAGAGCGATGTTTTGTACAAGGAGAGTAGTTGTGGTTTTTTGGGTTGAGGTCTCACTCTTGCCGAGACGAGTCCAGTGGCACATCACAGCCTCAACCTCCTGAGTAGCTAAGGCTACAGGTGAGCGCCACCATGCCCAGCTTTTTTTTTTTTTAATTGTAGAGAGAAGCTCTCACTGTGTAGCCCGGGCTGGTCTTGAACTCTTAGGATCAGACAGCCCTCCCACAGTGATGGGACTACAGGCATGCGCTATGGCAACAGATCGAGAGCAGCTCTTAACTGTGAGAGTTCTCTACTCAGCTAGTGTATGATCTGTGATCTGTTGTTTGGCCTAACTGTGCCCAGGTATTTGTGTACATTGTTAAAAAAAAAAAAAATTACAGGTTCATCTATAATATCACCACTTATTTCTAATGTCATTTTTCATCTTGTGGAAATGCCACATTTGACTCGATCACTTTTCTGAATTTGAACATTATTTAGGTTATTTCCAATTGTTGGGTACATCCTTAAAGCTAAATTAAATTCTTAGCATTAGAATTGGTAGGTCAATGATTATGCATGCTTTTAAAATATATTGCCAGTCTGTGGCCATACCACTCTCTCTGAGGCACCTAATTGCATCTGGAAGTTTATATTGTCTTTGACAGTGTGAAATAGTACTGCTAGTCATGTTCCATTTGACAAATAGATAAGTGGAAAATGATATCCTACTATTTTGTGGTATTGTTTTTTTTGGGGGGGAGTGGGGAGACAGCTTTCGAGTTTATTTGGCTTCATTGGATCCCGAGGCTAAGGCCCCAACCCTGGCTGGGGCAGCAGAAATACACCCAGAGAGCCTCAGGTGACCCCCAGGGCAGTGGAGTCCAGGCACTAAGCCCAGGGCAGGGTCCACAGTAGCAGAACTTGGTCAGAAGTGCTGGTGACAGCTGGGCTAGGCCCTCTCCCCTGTACCTCCCCAGTGGGCAGTTCCCCAGGACAGGGTCTGGTCTTCCCAACCAGCTGGGTACAGTATCGGGCCCCAGGGGGTAAGTTGGGGGACCTATAGGTTGCAGGTGTCAGGGGGTGCAGGCCCCCCCCATTCAGTGTGAAGGCTTCCTGTGCAGTGTAGCATTACTGACCCCCCAAGGCGGGATCCCTGGGGAAAACAGACAGAGGCTGGCCTGGTTCCCATTCCAGTGTATACTGTGGACCTTTTCTGGCAGCTAGAGCATCGGGGAGTGGCCTGGCCCACTCAAGACCCTGCCTCTGGCACCCACGGGGCCGGTATTGGTTTTTAACATGGAAGTCAGTACCTGGGCTGAAGTATCAGTGTTTCCAATTTACCGGAAAAAAGAGTGACTCGACAGTTATTCTTGAACCAATATCGCTATAATATACAAAGCACTCAGAGAGCTGTAAGAACAAGTTTAAAAACAGATAAGCAAAGAGTATGGACAGGCAATTTACAGAAATCTTTTTAAATAATTAGATGTAATTTATGCAGTGAGTCTCTATTGGGTTGGCAGAAATACCACTATGCTGGTTTAGGTCCCCTTGAATCGGTGAGTAAGTGTGGAATTAAGCTGCCGAGTGGAGAAGTGATAGCAGCTCACCTGGAGAGCTTGGTTTTGTCTTCTGGGTGGAGCGGCAGCTGCCATGTTCGTGCTTCTCAGGTCATGTTGCTGCTACGATCTTAGAGGTATTTCTAAAAATGAGTCATATGCTTATTGAAGATACAGAAACTAAAAGTTATCAATGATGGTCTCGATCCAGGGAATATAGTTAATGACCTTTGTGTAGACCCCATACTGACCTGCTTCCCCACAATTCATGGAGCCCCAGGACACTATTCCTCCCACAAACCACCTCTGTGTTTCATTGTCTAGAAACACTAATGCCCCGCCACTGTCGCCTCTGCAGCTGTCCCTACCCCCGCTTTCCACGCCAGCACAGAGCATGTTACCAGTCACCCTTCCCCCTGGATAGGGCCTCTCCTCATAGGCTGCGGTGCATTTTTGGTGGTCAACAATTGGTATGTCAACAAACATGAGATTTCTGGCAAGAAACCCCCTTTGGGTTAATCCCCATCCAGCTGTGGTTCCAATGTCATTTGTCCTCATAAAGGATTCAGCTGCTTTTGTTGGCAGACAAATAGGCATGATGCTGCTATTGATCACAACTTTGTTCTTCAATTTAATCAGTGCTATGTCGTTGTCAAAACCAGCATTATGAGTATAACCTTCATGGATGAAAACAGCCTCAGCCCAGGCTTGTGTGTAATCAGGTGACAGTCTCCTCAGGGCACCCATGCGAATGTCCAGGGCAGACACGTCGTCTTTGTGCTCATACACGGCATGAGCAGCTGTCAGGATCCAGTTGTCATATAAAAGTGCACCTGCTGCTACAGCGTCCCCTAATAACAGGACTTGCCAAGGAAAGTCACCAAGCTTTGCGTTTTGCCCTCCGTATATGCGCCCTCTTGTGGCTCGCGTAGATAATCCACAGACTGAGGAAAGAAGGAGGAGATAACATGGTCTGTAGAAACCCAGGAGCATTTGTATTAAGTTATTACCACTTGGGGGCTGTGTGTGCTAAATGTCAACCAGAAATCACAGCACACATGTTGGCGGGTGTCTGCCTGTACTGGCAAGTGATGCTTCTTTGAAACAGCACAGTTCAAAGACCTGACACAATTCTTTGGTATTTCTTAGGTCCTTAGAACATGTGCTGAGTGAAAATTAACTTCTAGAAATTACTTTGTTTTGCTAAAAGAAACTGATCTGTAAGATCAGTTAAGTTTTAATAGGGTAAATAAGGACTGTCTGAGCTGATGCGCTGGGTGATGTGCATAGGAAGTGGAGAGATGTAACATTTCATTGCTTCTGTTTTCCTGTTTGTAAAATGGGGTGTTGACTGTGATTCTGGGGAAGCAGGAACTCGGGTCAGTATCGAGCTTTGCAGGATTACTTTTACCTTGAAGTACATAAATGTTTTAGGAATTACAATGTTGTCATTGTGGCTAGGACCCTTTAGGTTCCAAAATTACAATTTTTTGGTATAGAGGATTCTTCCAAACTCTACATTTTACTATATCTTTATTGCAAACCAAACATGTTTAACATGGCATATATGTTTCCTGTTGTGGTGGTATACTTGTATTAATACTTACAAGTGTGGTAGCCAAGTATAGGTTTTAAAAAACTAATTTAAGCCAAATAACACAGGGGTAATGAATATATGATTACCTTTCTGATTTGTTTTTTAAAAATCTTTCTACTCAACTATTATCTTTGGAGCCAATTCTGGTAAAAAAAAAAAAAGTACTATTAAAAGGCAAATTGCATTAATGTTTAAAAATTGGTGTCATTGAAAACAATTGCTTAGGGAAATAATGAAGTTATTAGCTTTGGGTTTTAATAGCATTTTTACAGAGGAAAAGTAACGCAGCAGAAGAACTTGTGTTTGTAAATGTGTAAGATGTTCAAGATTATTTTTAAAAATCATTTAATTTTTTATGCTTGCCTAGTTTTAAGGTCAGACATAATCCACTGGCTGATGCAGTCAGTACCCACCAACTTCTCTATGGAAGGGGATAATGAGAACATACTATTTGGAAATAATACCTTAGCCTCTGAGCCAAGTGCCGAAGTTACATTCTGCCTACCACAACTAAAGCTCCACTTACGCCTCCTGGCCAGTTCTGCCTTCCATCAATTACGAAGCGGGTATAAGTGTATCCATTACCAGGCTCGCAGACTGGGAGTGATGCTTCTCCTTTGGAGCTCGTCCAGAAGCCATCAGCCTCACACACATAGTCACCTGCAAATCATTGGGAAAGCAAAAATGTTGAACTGCATGTGTAAGATGCTTGTCATCTGCTTGAACACCCCTTGAAAAATGTTGATTCCCGAGCATCCGTGGGAAATAGAGGCGTCTGAAGAACCATTTTACATGACTTCATAAATAGGAGGTCTCTGCATTACCATGTTTGCTTGCAAAGTGGAAACCTTTTAGATGTGGAACTTGAATATGTATCAAGATCTCAAGTGCTTAATGATAAGGTTTTGACTTGTTAAATTAAACCATTTGGAATATATTGTGTGTTTGTAGTAGTCATTTACTAGATAAGATCTGTTTTCAGATTCTTGCAAATTGACATTAAAGCCACTTCAGCTGTAATATTTCACTTAGCGGGTGGGAGAAGTGCCTTTTAATCTGTTGTCTATCTTTAACCAAAAATGCTGGTTAAAGTCCATTTTCAGACCATGAGGGCTGGATTCCAAATGCCGCCCACCCCCACCTTTGACATATTTGCTCACCGTCATCTGTCTTCATGGTGTAGAAGGTCTCCTGACAGCTGTATTGGATCACAGCTCTGTACGTGGTCACATCAGGACCTGTGATGTATTCCACCTGGCCGTTGGGTAGGTCATCAGGAGGGCCACAGTCCACAACTAATACAGAGACGGGGGAGGGAAGTGTCTGTTATGTCTGTTATAAGGTCAGTGCTGATTAAACGGCCTGGAGGCAACTGCTGGATGAGGCACCTGCGAGTGGCTCAGAGGCCTGAGACCAAGTTCACTTCTTGTGTGTGGTGGACACTGTAGCTTCATCTCTAGACGTGGAGGGTATTGCCTAGTGTGACCCGAAGCTTGCGCTCAGCCCTGTTCCAACTAAATGGCTGCACTGGGTGGGGGGCGTCACCAGGGGAAGGAGTGGGGGATGCCTTTCCTGAAGGATGGGACTTTGAAGCCACTTGAGCTCCAGGGCGCTGTTGCTTGGAATAACGAGGGTGGCCTGCGGCAGGGCGCGGCACTTCTGCAATGGGGAAGGCCATGAAGGCGGAGAAGGAAGCAGCAATGAAAGGACTGGCCTTGGCTGGGTGTGCGGTGGTTCGTGCCTGTAATCCCAGCACTTGGGAAGGCCATGGCGGGAGAGTCGCTTGAGCCCAGGAGTTCAAAACCAGCCTAGACAACGTAGCAAGACCTCATCTCTACAGAAATGAATCAAAACCGGGTGTGGTGGTGTGTGCCTGTAGTCCCAGCTGCTTGGGAGGCTAAAGTGGAAGGATTGCCTGAGCCCAGGAGGTTGAGGCTGCAGTGAGCTGTGAGTGTGCGACTGCACTCCGGCCTGGACCACTGAGATTCTGATTTTTTTTTGAAAGTGAGAAAGCAGCCGGGCTCGGTGGCTCCCGCGCCTTGGGAGGCAGAGGTGAGTGGACTGCCTGAGCCCGCAGGTTTGAGACCCACCTGGCCAACTTGGTGAGACCTCATCTCTACAATAAATCAAAAAAATTAGCTGGGCGTGGTAGCGCACACCTGTAGTTCCA